CACTCTAATATAATAAAAATATATTTATTCAAGAATAAAACTTGAAAATTATTTACTAAGATTACCCCAATACTTTACAGGGTATTTGCAGGTATAGTTGTTTTGTGTCTGTTTATTTTTTAAGTTTCTTGCATATTTCGGCTAGCTTCACTCGCTGATTGCAAATGTTGGCGCGAAGGGAGCGAAGAGTGGCCCAAAAGCTGGGCTATAAATTTATTGCTGAACTTTGAAATACCACGGCCACAGCAGCGCAGCTACTTCCTCAGCTTGGCTAACTGTATGGAGTCGAAGCGTTTTAAAGAAAAACTTCTGCAGCTGTATTTTTCGCAATTATCCTTGAAAATGCAGTAGCAGCAGCAGCAACAGCAGCAGCAGCCGAAGTTGAAGCAGCATGTTGAAGGATACAGCGGAAATGCGCTGTGGGGCGGGAAGTGGAAGTAGCCTGTTGACAGAAGCTAAAACCTAAGAGCAAGTGAGACGGAGAAAGAGAGAGAGAGAAAGAGGAAAAGCGCAAACCAGAAGCTGCGAATAATTTATTAGTTGCGTAAAGAAATCATTTATTTGTTGACTCGCCGAACAGCAGCTCACAGCGACTGCGGGGAAGGAAGGCGCTCCATAGCTAATCCACTCCTGAGGGTGCGTGTCTCGGCTACAGTTTGAGTGGAATTGGCCTGTTGATGTTATTGTCAAAAACTGGTAGGGAGTAATTGAAGCAACTACAAGTTCGAAGAGGTTTTTGTCCCGGCTACAGCTTCAGTAGAATTTCGTTGTTGAATTTTCGTCAGCAATCGTCGAAAGAGGGGTGGGATTCTTGGCTATTGTTGCTGTAGATTTTCGATGTTGAATACTTTTGTCAGCGGAAGAGTGGTGAGTTACTTTAGTCACTGTTGAAGTAATTCGAAGTAAACCATAGTGTGTAAGTATCAGCTATAATTTGAGTAGATTTGTCCATTGTTGATTTTATTAGCAGCTGATGTCGAAAGTCTGGAGGGCAAGAAAAGTTTGTCTGCCAACGAAAGCAAGAGAGGGAGAGGAGCTTCGGAATATCATTTGAGTTGTGTATATGTGTGTGGGAGTATTCAGTTGGTACATATATGAGTAAAACGAAGCTAGAGAGCTTGCAGCAGCAGAGCGTGCTCCCATTGGTCAGTTAAAGTTCGACTGCAACGACCTCTACCTGACGTCGGGCTTAACATTTGAGTGCGACCTAATAAGAGTCGCCTCTGGGTGAGAGTCGCCCTATATAATGGGCAGCATATGCAGCATTTCTTCAGTCACCCAGGCCTGGTGTGTGATCGTCATTGGATTTAGAAAAATTCTTTACGGAAATACTTAATTAATTCGAATACTGATTGGGTTGAGGTCTCGGCTGCAGTTCGCGTTTAATTATCGAAAGAGGGCCTCGTTGGCTGTAGTATGTCTCGGCTAAAGTTTTAGTGTCACTGTTCAGCAATAAATAAAGTCGGGTTATTGTCTTAGCTAAGTTAAGTGATTTTATTAAAATATATATAAAATATATATTATATAAGTATGTATATACGTACACWTCACATTTACAATATGACGAGAATTGCAACAAGGGTTAAGAGTCCTTAGTGAACTAAATGCCGCTCGGCCTGAGCTTCCGTTTCCGTTGCTCTGCAGCCTTAACGGGCTTTGCGTTTGATTAGAAATATGTTTCGATTCGGATTACGATTAGCAAACTAGGTGTAGTTAAATATTAACAGCAGCGGAGGCGGCTACAGCACCTGGCCTGGTCTGGTTACTATTACTACTATTACTATGCCAGCACGCCCCTCACTTTGTCTTGGCGGTGCGCAAATTCGATGCCGACAGCAGCGAACGCGTGGGCGCCGGACGCTCGTCCACGGAGTAGCCATTGAGGCGTCGATGGGCAGACGACGACGAGGCCGACGCCGAAGACTCCTGCTTGCGGCCCAGCCGGCTCAGCGTGCTAGCGCTGGTGGCTCCATTGTGGGGCGGCGGCTTCCGTGGCAGCGTGGAGATCTAAGGGAGAAGAGTTCGGAATTCAATGGAAAATCTAGATAAGATTCTAGCAGCAGCTCGCCTCAAACTAATATACCCGTTTTGCCTAGTCGGAGGCTCAACTTACGCGCTTGTTCTGCTCCTGCGAATAGTTGATCTCGTAGCCCTCGCTGATGTGCTTGGGCTTCCAGGGCGCCAGCATGGAGACGGAGCGCGACACAGTGCGCGTCATGGGCTGCAGCGGCGGCTTGCCGCCAGCTCCTCCCGCGCCGCCTCCTTTGCGCAGATCGTCGCGCGACATCGAGCGACGGCGCAGATTATATGGCTGTGGTATGTCGCCCACTGTGGTGGCATGCAAATAGACCACGCTGCGCTGGCTGTGCAGGCTCGACTCGCCCTCGGTGCCGGAACTCTCCGCCGGATAGCGTTCCCTGCTCAATGAAATATGTGTTGAGTGAAGATTACTCAGCGGAATCTGGTTATAACGACAACAACACTTACTTCCCATAGCCGCCATCGACTGCACTCGGCGTCAGCCCGCGCCGCTCGGCACTGCGCGCCGGCTTCGGCGGTCCGAGCAGCGGCCTGTCCTCGTAGCGCTTCGGCAGCTCCGTCGATCGCTCCAGCGACATGGCGCGCTGTGCGGCGCCGCGCTTGTGTCGCTCCACTGGCTCCGGCTCGGAGCCGCTCTCGGAGATGTCGTGCAGTTCGCGGGAGCGCGAATAGTGACGTCGCTTGCGGAAGTCCACCTCATCGCTGCCATGCTCCAAGTGCTGCATCGAGCTGGCGCGCTGCCGTGCTCCGCCCGGGGTCAGCGACGTCGTCGCTGCCGTCGTCGACAGACTCTGGCGGTAGTCGCGCGACGGCGGCGGCGGACTGCGATCCAAGTGGTAAGCGCTCTGCGAGTGCTTCGACAGCTGTGGCCGTCGTCTGTGAATGGATGAAGGGAATTAATAAAGGGAATTCGTAAAGGGAAATTATAAAGGAAATTCGTAAAGGGATTCAAAGTTCATCCAAATGCTTACCTTGGCATGCCGCTGGCCTTGGAGATGGTTGGCGGATTCGAGTCCAGGTCGGTGTCGCCAAAGAAACGCAAATTCTTGGCTGGCGCTGGGGCGGCGTTGGCATTTCGCTTGCTGCGCTTCAAACTGCTGGAGCTGACCTCGCTGTGTCCATTCACTGAAACATTGAGCTGCAGGCCACAAGCAAAAATTAGAGACTGCAATGAGAGGAAGTTTCCCTTCACACTTGCCTGCTCCTTGGGATTGCTTTTGGCACGACGATCCAGCGACTTGAACCAGCTGGTCTTCTCCGTCTTGACGGGCGTCGATGTGGAGCTGGTCAGCGTGGGCTTCTGCTTGGGCGGCTTCTTCAGCAGCAGTGGACTAGCTTTCGGTGTGGAGAGGCGACGGCGCATAGAGATGTCCATAGTCTGCACAATAGACAAATTGGCATATCAGTATTTGGTATGACAGGAATTCTCAACTCTAGCGCTAAACGGGGTCAGAGGTTCGCAACAGGTTGCCACGCCATGTGGAGCAGGTGGCCTTTTGCCTGAGAGCCTTGCCTTGCCATGCCTAATGACTGACTGAGTGTGGCTTTGCCTACGACTGTGGCTTGTGGGGGCGCAACAACAACAACAACAACAACGGCGGCAATGCGAGCTCACGTTGCAAACAAACTTGTTTTGAGACTTTGGCCCAGTTGTGGTTGATACTAAGTATATATATATGTACATACTATTCAGTTTAGGCAGCTAGCGCTATGGTCTATGGCAAGAGAGTAGAGCACGTTGCATGCCTGCGCTGCATGTGGCAGGGTATTTATGTTTATTTAATTTGTATACCTTAAGCCCAATTGGAAACTGACAACTGTGGGGTATGCCGAGTTTGTTGACCTGCATGTGAGAGGCACACAGAAGGAGAAGGGAGTAATTCTAATCAGAGTCAACAGGCAATTGACTTGATCTAGTTATGTTCATTCGTCTGTCCTTTAGTTCTCCTGTGAGTCCTTATGCCTACCACCTGTTTGTCAGCAAGGCGTTCATCTAGCTGTTTATCTGTCTATCTGCATATTTTTCTCTGTTCGTGCGTCTGACTGTTTGTCCGATCATCGTTTTCAGTGCTCATCCGTCCATCTATATCTATATATATCCATATCTATCTGTGCGCCCGTCCATCCAGCCATCCATTCCATCCCATCCGTTTATCCACCCATCTCTCAGCTCTCCCGTCTGACGTCTTGTCTCTCCGCTTGTTTGCCTGTCCCGTTTATCCATATATCCACTCATCCCTCAATCTGTCTATTCATTCTTCTACCCGTGGCTCCATTTGTTCGTCCCTCTGGTCTGTTCATTCGTATATCCATATGTCCATCTCTCCGTCTACGCATCTATCTCTTCATGCGTCCCTCCGGTCTTCTATATGGCTATCTGTCTGTTGGCTTCTTTATCCGTTTGTCTGCCCCAGTGTCCATCTAGCTGTCTATCCGTCCGCCTTCTTGTTTGTCTGCTCGTTCACAAATCTGCTTATCCGCCCGCCCATTCAGCCATTCTGTCTATTTGCCTCTTTGTCTGTTTATCTATCTGCCTGATCATCTGTCTGTCTGTCTGTCTGCCTATACTTCATTCCATTTACTTTCCATCTGTGGAGCCCTGAAATCATATACGAAGTTCCTTCTACAGCGCCTCGAATCTCTTTAGAATGATTTCAAAATGTGAATAATTTCTGGGGGATTCTATTTTATTTAACATATCTCCCACATGCTCTAAGAGACATTCCTCAAATTTAGCAGTTTTTCGCAATATTCTTTGATATGCTTTACATTTAAATTGAATTAAATTCCATTATGCAAAATATAGCTCCGACTTCCTCGTACATTATTCTTCTCCGATTTAGCAAATATTTAGTAGAATATTAAATATTTATATGTGATATACAATCCAAATATATACATTTATATATTGTCTACGTCACTGAAATCTGCACAGTTTGCTTCTTCTTCAATTCTAGAGATACAAACTAAAATCTGAATAGGCTTGACTTGACTGGGGTTCAGGGTAACTCTCAATCGTGTGCAGCCTATCGACTCGACTCGCGCCTGCTGACTTGTGCTTTGATTTGTGACTGTAAGAGGCCAAACTTTGCATTGGAAAGTGACTGGCTGAAAGGTAAGCCAAATCGCAGAGCCAGCAGAGCCAGCAATGCGCTATGACGACGCTTACGCACCCACCAAAAATAAGAGGAAATAAATATCAAATATTCAAATGCCGCCTTAATTTAGTTTATGGCCGCCGCAGTCGCAGCCATAAATTAGCGAAGAACATTATTGGCTTTATTTTATTTKTATTTAATTTTTTGTTGTATTTATATATCTGTTTCTTTTTATTTTTATTTTTATTTTATGTATTTTCTTTTGGTCATGTAGAATCTTCGAAAATGAATGCCAAGGCACTTTATGTGTATTTCTTGTTTAAAACGTTTATTGGGCCGCGATTTTTATGGCCATCGGGCATGAGCATGAATAATAGCCGCATATTGTCCAAATCGTTTACCACTCGAAAGTTTCGCCCGCTGCGGCACGCAAACACTTTTTGACACACACAGACAGAGAGGGTGGGAGAGAGAGCAAGAGGTAAGCCCTTGCCACACCTTTGGGCCTTTGTATTGAGTTGCTCTGAACGCCCCCGCTTTGGGCTGCAGGATTTGCACAATTTCTTAACGAGCCGAAATTCGCACAAAGAATTTCGCTAATTTGTTTCTCCACTGAGCGAATTGTGTGGTGATGCGTGTCCGTTGCAACATCCGCTAGAACGCAGCGCGTAGCTTTGGGCCACACCAAGCTACATCCTCTTGGCAAGGTCTGCAAGGCCCACAAATCCGCTCAAGCATTGCAAATTAGCTAAGCTAAGCAGCAGCAGCAGCAGCAGCAGCAGCAGCAGCAACTGTTGCAACCATTTGCCAGTAGCCTCAGCTCCAGCTCCAGCTCCAGCTCTAGTCCCCGCCCCAGCTCCAATGCCAGTGCCAGCCCAAACGCCGTTTTGCAATGTGGCATCTGTGCGCAGCTTTAATCAATTTCTCATACGCCCCGTTGGCCGTCGTCTTGCTGTCAGCTCTCTTGAGCGACAACAGAGCCGAGACAGCTGCTGCGTGGGTCTCGCGCTTTTGTTCTAGCTTTAAATGCTAAGCGACGCCTCGTCAGCTTTCCGAATTCTCCAACTCTATTTGGCCAGCCATTATTATTATTATTGTTGTTGTTGTTGCTGTTGTTGTTAAACACAATTTCAGGCATTCTTTATGGCAAGCGACGTCTTGATTTAGACTCAATTTGATGTGCCCCTCAAAACTGGCGGCGCGCTCTCTTTCGCTCTTTAGCACACACACTCTACCTCTCTCTCTCTCTCTCTCTCTCTATTCTTAAGTGGCCCCCAGCTGACATGACGTCTACTCGAAACACTGCACCATTTTCGGCTGCGCACAGACGCCCACCTGGACAGCAACTGTGAGCAGGAAGTAGGCGCCTTAGCAAAAAAATGTTTAACAAATATATAGATAGAATAGAATAGTTAACAAGGCCAATGCGAACCTTAGATACTCTAATGGCGGAATGATCTTAGCTATAATGTCTAGTATCTAATTATAATTGATGTTGATATTGGAATAAAAAAAAAATCTTAGCTATGATATTTTGCTATTTTATCTGGTTAAAATTTTAGTTGCAGTCAAAATACTTGCAGTGATAATTTATGATCGAGACATATTTTTAGCTATCCAAAATACATTTATGTATTTAGCTACAATTTAAGCAGACACATTTTTTTTTTTAGCTGTCTGTGACGTTCTCATATAATCTTAATAATCTACAATCTGTCTATCTATCAAAGTAGAACTCTAGCACTCTGATTAAGGCAAAGCTTTAGCTCTAGAAAGCCTTAACAATCTGCATTAATCTGACAAAATTCATTAGACTAATTAAAAAAAAACTATGAACCGTTACCCTTCTAAGTTGACTCCTTCTCAATCTTCATCTGATCCAGGGAGCCTTAACAATCTGCAACAAGGACGACAAAGATAAACCAAAACTTAGCTGTAAAAACTCATAGACTTTAAGGCTAATTCAATCTCTATTTGCTCCTCGTAATACGAACACAGAAGCCCTATCAATTGTTCTCAATTTCCCCAAGGGCAGCTCAAAGATCATCTACAGCTGTTTGCTTTTCACTTTTCACAATGTATTTCAAGCACCCTCTCCGCATACTCTCTCAATTTCAAGCACCCTCTCTCATGTCTAATCGAAATGGCAAACAAACAGCAGAAAATTCGCACGTACCACAGAGTTGGGGGCGACTCAGCCGCCGCCAGACTTGATTAATTCGAAATTAATAATAGCCAAACCCATGACAAAAAAAAAAAAAAAAAACAGAAAATAAATAAATAAATAAATAAGCAACTTGTGCGCGTTAAGCCATGCTCAAATCTGACCCATTCGTGCAGCGGTTCAGTTCAGTGAACTCTGGAGCAAGCGCCATCATTTGGCCATTAAGAGTGGGGCTTACCTTTGGTTCGCGTGAGGTCTCCTCGGTTGATGTCTGATGATGATGCTCGCGATAGCGCGAACGCATCTCCTCTTCCCGTACCATATAGCGCTCCTTCTCCCGCTCCCGCTCTAGCCTGGACCGCTCCTTATCTTTGTCACGGCGGCTCAGCGTGCTGCTGCTGCCATTGGTCAGACGTGACTGTGTGTCTTTCTTGCCGCTGGAGACATTGCTGCCGCTACTGCGACCGCTGCCACCGTTGCTGCCGCCGCGGCCGCCGCTGCCGCTGCCAATGAATAGCTGCTTCACCTTCTCAAAGCCGCCCAGCTTCTTGTTGCGCTTGAGCGTGCTGGAGTCCTCGCGCTGCTTCTGCTGCTGCGTTTGCTGCTGCTCTCGGCGGCGCAAGGTGCTCGTGGATACGGTATACTTGTCCAGATGCGGATCAAAGTGGGAGCCATCGTCTATGGAGCGCTCCCTGTAGACATAGCTGTGCTCGCGTCGCAGTCGCTGCAGCTCCTGCAGCTGCTGAGCGCTCTCCCGACGCTCCTTGCGCAAAAAGGACTCGCAAGCCCTCATATCATCAAGGGCCGTGCGCTTGCGCCATCTAAGCAGAAGGCAAACAAAATGAAAGCAGAGGAAAATCAGTTACAGTTACATCTCCAGTTCATCCAAAAATCAACTTACCTTGTGGTCAAATCACCATTGAAGGATTCCTTGCGAAAATCGTTCTCAATGCCCGAATCGCCCTTGTCGAAGCTGCGCTGCTGCAGCTTGTCCCGCTTGAGGCTGCTCTGCCAATAGTCCTGCAGCCGTCCGCGCTCGGTGTTACGCAGCTCTGGCGAGGATCTGTATTGATCCGTGCCCACCGTCAGCTGCGAGTCTAGGCTCTTCGGCTCCTGCTCCTCGAGCTCGCGCGGCGACGAGCCGAGTCTCTCCCTGTGCCGCGACTCACGTACCTGCCCATCCCTTTGGGTCTCCCGCACGTAGGTCTCCTTGATGCCACCGTTGCCATCGTCATAGTATTTGGTGTGGCGATAGCGCGAGGTCTTCTCCACCTTCGGCAGTGTGGTGCTATTTTCCAACTCCAGCTGAACCGGTCGATGATAACGCTCATCGACAGCCAGTTCTCGTTCCATTTCTCTTTCCCTTTCCCTCTCCCTTTCCCGTTCCCTTTCCCTCTCCCTTTCCCGCTCCCTCTCTGGACTGGGATAGTCGAGGAATCTTTCGCGCTCCTGCTTGTAGTTGTGCTGCCGTTCCAGCGTAGCCCCCTCACCGAAGCGACGCGTCAATATGCGATTCTCCAGCTGCGCTCGCCGATAGCCCAACTCATCCAGATAGGGCGCCGGACTGACGCTCCTAATCACGGGCACAATGGGTGGCTCCGCTCTGCGCTCCTGCTTGGGTAAATCTTCCTCGTAATACAATTTGCGTGTCTCAAAGCCAAGGCCTTCGTCCTCATCACTGAGATTGCGTGGACTGAGCTGTTGCCAGGGCGAGGGCGAGTGGGAGCTGGTCAATCTGGAAGGAGTTCCTGCTCCTCCTGCTCCTCCTGCTCCCACGCCTCCATTCTGTATGGGCGAGTAGCTTCGCAATGGTCTCTCATTAGCTCTGGGTGGCCTTGGCGGTGGGAATTCGCGCTGAGGTGTACGCGAATCTCGGCCAGAAACACGCTGTGGTTGCTGCTGCTGTGGCTCATCGCTCAGATCAAGCTGGGCGTAGGTGATGCCCTCGTTGGGCCGTATGTAGGAGAAGGCCGGCTGACTAATGACCGGCTGTGGTGAGAAACGCTCCATAGACAGTCGCTTCACCAGGCCATTGACGGTGCGGCCCCTGGTCAGGGGCAATCGCTCCGCCGGCTGCTGTGAGCTGTGCATATTTTCGCTAGACTTGGCCTTTAGGGTCTCGATGCGATCCCGAATGCCCGCGGATATCGATGCTCCTGTTGCTGTGGCCGATGCACCGCTTATCGATTGCCTTTTCAACAGAGATCCGTCCACCTCCGCTTTGGAACGACTGCGCGAGAGCAGCTCACTCAGGCCCTGGCCGCTCTCATGCTTCTCGCGCACAGTAACAGCGTCCGATTTGCGTCGCTCACGTTCCCGGAAATAGTCCTGCTCAAAGAAATCCTCCCGCTGCGTCTGCTCGATGATCGGACTCAGCTGCTGCTTGGCTGCTGCACTCGCTGGCTCGTTCTTCTTGCCGTTGTTGTTGTTGTTCACTTTGCTGTTGCGGGATTCCTTTGGAGTGCTGCCCACATCACTTTTGCTGCGCACTAAACGACGTCCTGGCGGTCCGTCCTCGAAGCGTGGATCTCGCTCCAACTGGCTGACATTCGTGTCGCTCTTGCGACTGAACAGGCCAAAGATCGAGGGACGTTTCGCTGGCTTCTTGGCCGCTGAGGCGTCGCTCACGCTGCGTGCCACAGGCTTGCCCTTTTTGCGACGCGTGGGCAGCGAATGGAAGCGCTGCGCGTCGCTGCTGGAGCTCGGGCGCGGCTTCTGCTTCACACGAAACGTGGGTATATTATCCCCGTTGGCCGCCTTGCTCTGATGCTGACCGGCCTGGGCGATGACTAGAGCCGCCTCCTTGCGTATGTCCTCCGGATCGATGTCCGGCGGCAGCTGATGGTAGCCCTGCAAGCCAATCGGCGCTAGATCTGTTGTCTCGTAGTCGTACTCTGACGGTTCGTTGGGACGCTTGGCTGTGGAGCATGAAAATAAAGAGAAAGGATAATAAGATATGGTATGTCATTTGATAAACAGTTAAGAGGTGAGCTTAAGTGGAGCTAAATGGTTAAGAGGGAGTGAGAGGGAGAAAAGGAAGGAGAGATAAGAAATAATTCAGAGTGATATAGTTAGAGAGAAAGAGAGGACACAGATTGAGGAGGAGATAACGATCAGAACGATTGAGAGAAAGACTTCCTAAGATAGGGAGGAACAGAGAGAGAAAAATAAAATCAGAATAGAGCAAGTTCATTCTGAGATTGAATGAAATCTCCATATCAGAATTAATATATAGAAAGAGAGAGAGTGGAATAGAGACACAGAGCTTCGACATAAATTATAATTCGATATGAAAGAGGTGAAAAAAGCAGAAAGAAAGGGAGTAATTTTACTTAGATAAAGTAAAACAAAGATATATGTATAGAATGCAATAGAAAAAGAGAAAGACTGATATGGACTCTCTCCATAGTAAACATATATGCACTTGCAAAAATCCAATAAGAACTAGCTCTGAGTCAGAGATTTAGATTTAGAATGCAATATAAAAGCTGTGGACTTTTGATTAGGCAATAAGAATAGAGCAAACTGAGCTAGCCATTTATCTTCTAAGAACTTTAGTGATAGTAAACAACTTAGGCATAAATCTAAGCTCAGACATATAAGTCTAACCCTATTACACTTAAGCCACTAGCCCAAACCAGTTGACTCCGAGTTTTAAGAGCCAAATGTGAGGCAAGGCAGGAACAGCATCAGTTTCTAGTCATCGCACTCTGGGATGGATCTCGCGAATGCGCTCGTCGGCATTCATGTAATGACAATTAGCACATTAGACGAGAGGTCGGCTGTGCTGGCTGATGATGTAATACGAATTTACCAACTGGCCGCAGCTGTTGGGCCAGTCTCAAAGTGTGAATTGGCAACAGCTGCCGCTGCTGCTGCCACTGCTGCCACTGCTGCTAAATAAGGCAGCCTGAATCGCAGCCACTAACAATGGCCAGCTAGAGCGGCATTAGCCCACGTCTCTCGCCTCTCCATTGGTCTCTCGTTCCCTTTGCCCACACTTGTGGTACGTGTAGTCTGTAATCGGGCGCTGTAAGCGCTAATGGCCATTGAGGCATCTTAGTGGAGCTGAACGAGGCGCTACCATTCGGTCGCTTCTATTCGAAGAGATCATAAAGATTCTTCAGCCACTTCCTCACTTGTTGTTCATAATCATTATTATTTAATACCCCGAAAACAAAAAACGTGCCGCTCCATCTTCAACAGCAGCCAACATAGCGATCATCATGACCAAAAACAAGATTGCGGACCAGCAAACCATCAGCCAGCAGTCACCAGCCACCAAGCAGAGCAACCCAAAGCAGCAGAGAGCTCAAAGGCAGAAAACGTGCGTGTTCTTTGATAGCTTTTTTAGCTTTTTGTTTCTTTTCCATTCACATTTGTTGTTTTTGTTTTTGTTTTTAGTTTGTGCTTTTGTTGTCTCTGTTCATTCTGGCTTTTCTACGGCTCATCAGCTCATCATCAGCTTGGGCCCAGCTGAACGGGAGCAATCACAACATCTTGACAATCAGCACTTGTTAAGCGATAGAACATGAACATCTTTACAAACACACACACATACACAGATATACGCGTATGTGTATATACTATATAGTATATCAGTTAATGCTGCCAGTTCGTTGCCTAAGTCATTTGTTTTACTAGCCTAGCAATTAGTTTGACCTTGCTCCGACTAAGTGTAATAAAGTATGCATGCATTGTAATTGCTTTACTAGATTTGTAATTGACTTTTCTTTTCGATAAATATTTGTTGAAAATATTAAAAAATTTTAAACATATAAATATATATGTATGTGGAAACTTTTTTATATATTCCATGTACATTTTTCATACAAATTCTTTGGCAACAAAATCAAGATTCAGCAAAGAATAAGGATCATCATTATTTTCTAGTAAATCTCGAGTCTCGATAATTTTTTGTACCCTGCTAAATCGACAATCGCGACAAATTGAAAAAAAAAATCGTTCTCGATAATGTATTTAAATTTCTATGTAAAAAAAAACTGATCCCCTTGCCATTTCAAATTATCTCGCCTCGACTGTATTACTCCTCCGGTCTCCTCTTCCAAATCTGGTTACCGAGACATTATCGTCTAAAATAAGATCGAGTATCTTGTATATGGAGAAGAGGCGACATAAGATAACTAGATTATTCAAAAGACATATTAACCTAGATTATATCTTAAGCTTGTGCGAGTCTAATTAGTTACTAAATGCTGTTGGCTTGCTTCATTTTTCTCAATTTTTGATTATACCAAACATGATTTAAATCATTTATAGACAAAGTCAGCAAACAGCTTCTGTCAGTTCGTTGTCTAAGTCATTTGTTTTTAAGCAGCTTGGCAATGGGCTAGCTTTGTTTATACTAACTAAACTATTAAAATAATAGGCAACAATTAATTAACAATTAATTTCACTTGAACTGTTGCTAAGCATTACAGGAGGATTTTTCTCCTACCCACAAAATAACCAACACACTCACAGCATTCATAACTTGATTCTCAAATTCAGCTTTGTTCCCTCAATTTGAGCTTAAACTTACATATATACATATATATGTATGTGTGTATTTCGCGATAAGCTTATTGCTAGGTAAACCTATATAATCCCTTGCTCGCCATTGGGATTATCGTTCACCTGTAAGCTTCGCACAGCTGATTGCATTTTCACAGCCTGTCACATTGGCCGGGCGAATGCCTGCGGCTAACTGATTACGATACACAATGAACATTGACAAGCTGGGCGTGGCAGGTGTCAAAGCGACTTCACAAGCCATTAAAACAGCCACCACTCAAGCGGGAGAAGTTTTCTCAATTGTGTAAAACTAGGCAAGGCGAGCAAGAGAAACAGCGGGAGGGGCAGAGCAACCTGCCAAGACTTGGCCAAAAACAAAAAGATGAACGAAACGAAAAATTGCGATTCCATGATATGTGTCAAGGTAAAATGTAACTATGCAGCGCATACCATACAAGTGTAGAAGTACAGTGAGGACTCACTTAAGCGAAAAGACATTGATGCTGATGACTGAAGTTGAAGCAGCAAAGATATAGATGTAAGAAGATTCAACAGAAGTTGATGATTTTGGATATTTATTTATATAT